CAAAAGCCCTTGGGTCGGACCCTGGCTTCACCTCTCACACACTCCTTTCCCACGCCTCTCCAAACCTGGCACTTGCCGCTTTCCTAGCCACCGCCACTATTTCTTCAAGGGGTCGAAGCCTGACTTCCTGCAGCCGGTTTCGGTCCTCCCTCCCAGTGCACCTGCCCGCGGCACCAGTGACCTTCCACTGTTGCCATGTGATGGGTTCCTGAGACGTGGCAAAGGAGGAGCCCCCTGTGGCGGTGGGTCACCTACAGGGCTCAGGCTACCCCTGGCCAGGATGTCCACAGCATAGTCTGCGGAGGCCAGGATTTGTGGAGGCCCGACCAGGAGGAAGAAACCTCAGGCACAGAAAGCACCCGGGAGGCAACGAGGAATCCCAGCCTCAGGCCTGCGTCTGCGGGGTACAGTTCATTCTCCCCAGATGTCGTCCTCTCGTCATCTCCAGGAAACATGTGCCTGTGTGCCCTTGGGCTGCTCTCTCAGCCGAAGGTTGTCGTCGAGGAGAGCAGAACCCTGCAGGTTCAGGGGCAGCCAGGGGTGGGTGGGTTGTGTAACTGTGTGTGTGTATGTGTGTGTGTGTGTGTCTCTGTATCTGTATGTGTGCACCCGCGTGTCTGTGTCTCCCTTTCTTTGACTTCTCTCTCTCGTTTCCTGCGGACTCGCTCGCTCTCTCTTGTCTCTATGAGTCTGTGTAGGTGGGTGCATGTTGGGACGAACATGCCTCGTGTGCCAGAGGGCGGTTCCTGGCACGTCGGCCTTTCTTCTGGTGAGACTCTCTCGTTTCTACCTTATCCTGGGTCCTGTCGCCACTTGTCAGGCTTTTCAATCTTATTGTCGCCAATTCGACTTGGGGTTGGTGGAGGCCTGGGCAACGTGGGGAGGGAGATGCGTCGGACCTGCAGGGGTTTCAATCTCCTTCCCATCCCGCACGGCCTCTGTGTCAGGACCAAGGGTATCACACCCCAGTCAAGGACAAAAGCCTCACCACAGCCCATCGACCACCTGCAGGAGGCAAGCCCATCCTCAGAGCATCCCACCTGTACTTTCTCTTCCATTCTTGAGGGCCATCCGGTTCCTATGCTCCTAGGGAAAGTGCTGTCAAGCACTGAATCTTCTGGCTGCCACAGACCCCAAGCAGCCAGCCAAAGGGACTAGGTTTTGCTGGGTGCAGCGGAGGTTGCGGCAGGGGTACCTGCCAGGTGGCGGGGTGGGGGACACCACGCCTTGAGGCCCATGGGATCTTTCCGTGCCCCAGGGAGGCCTTTCCCACCTCTCTCCATTGTAATCCCATTGCTGCTTACCTTGGGATGCCACACCGTATCCCCGAAGAGGACTCTGGAAAGCCCATCGGGCACCCTGAAGCTCCTCCTTTGCCTGGAGCTGAAGCAGACCTCTAGAGGAGGTCCTGAGGACAAAAGGCCTATGGGTTGGACCCTGGCTTTGTCTCTCACACACCCCTTTCCCACGCTTCTCCAAACCCTGCGCATGCCACTTTCCCGGCTGCCGCTGCCATTTCTTTAACGTGGGACAGCCTGACTTCCCAGAGCCAGGCGTGGGTCAGCCTTCCCAGTGCGCATGCGTGAGGCCGCTCCTCGGGTCCCAGTGACCTACACTGTTGCCTGGTGATGGGTTCCTGAGACTTGGCAAAGGAGGAGTCCCCTGTGGCAGTCGGTCACCGACGGGGCTCAGGCTACACCTCGACAGGACGTCCACAGCATAGTCTGCGGAGTCCAGGATTCGCCGAGGCTCGACCAGGAGGAAGAAACCTTAGGCGCAGAAAGCACCGGGGAGGCAGCACGGAATCCCAGCCTCAGGCCTGCGTCGACAGGGTACAGGTGAGTCTCGCCAAATGCTGTGCCCTTGTCATCTCCGGGACACATCTGCCTGTGTGCCCGTGGGCTACTCTCACCCGAGGGTTGTCATCAAGGAGAGCAGAACCTGCTGCAGCTTCAGGGGCTGCCTGGGGGACGGTGTGGGTTTCAGGGAGAGAGAGAGAATGAATTTTGTGTGTGTGTCCCCTTCTCTGATTTCTCTCCTTTCCCGCACGCGTGTGCTTGCTCGCTCTCTTGCGCTCTGCATCTATAACTGTATCTGTGCTGGCGTGTGTGTTTTGGGACTCCTGTGCCCCGTGTGCCAGAGGGCAGTTTTGCATTTGGGCCTTTCTTCTGGTTAGACTCTCCGTGTCTCTCCCTGAGCCTAGGTCCTGTGGCCCCTTGTCAGGCTTGCCCGTCACTTTGTGACCGGTTCCAGTTGGGGTTGGTGGAGGCCTGGGCAACATGGGGAGGCAGCTGCGTCGGATCCGCAGGGGATGCCCGTGGCAGTGGCATGCTGCTGTATTTGGCCTGGACTCTGGCCTGTGCTATGTCCTCCCTGTTTCTGAGAAATCTAGAGGCTTCTTGATTTGGCTCAGTGTCTTCCACAAAGAAAACTTCCCGGCCAGCAGGGAGAAACTTTGTGGGGATCCGTTTCCTGTCTGTTTCAGCCTCCAAAACTGTTTCTGGACAATTCGGTGGGTGCCATAATTGTGGGGCTGTGGGTTTCCACACCTGTCTGGGACAGGGAAGCTTTCTTGGTCTCCGTGTTCCTCTGAATGGCTGCGTGGCTGGCCTTGGCCCTGTCAAAAAGGTGGTGTTGCATCCCACGTGCACTTTCTCATTTTTCAGGGCCATCCGGTTCCTCTGCTCCTAGGTAAAGTGCCTTCAAGCACTGAATATTACGATTGCCACAGATTCTAGGAGCCAGCGGAACGGACTAGGTTTTGCTGGGTACGTGGGAGTTTGTATCAGGGGCACCTGCCGTGTGGCTGGGTGGGGAAACTACGTATTTAGGCCCATGGGATATTTGTGTACCCCGGGCAGGCCCTTTCCCCCTCTATTGTACTTCCATTCCTGTTTACCCTGTGGGATCCCAAACGGGATCCCCCAAGAAGGGCCCATCAGGCACCCTCAAGTTCCTCCTTTGCCTGGAGCCGAAGCAGAGGACCTCTAGAGGAGGTCCTCTGGACAAAAGTCCTATGGGTTGGACCCTGGATTTGTCTCTCCCACACCCCTTTCCCATGCCTCTGCAGGCCCAGCGCATGTCTTTCCTGGCCCCCGCCGCCATTTCTTTAAGGGGTCGCAGCCTGATTTCCTGGATCCAGGAGTGAGTCCTTGTTCCCACTGCGTCTGCGTGAGGCACCAGCGGCTCCTGGGGTCTCAGTGAGGTTTCCCTGTTGTCCGGTCACGGATACATGAGACTTGGCAAAGGACAAGCCTCCTGTGATGGTCACCGACTGGTTCTGGCCACTCCTCACCAGGACGACCACAGCATAGTCTGTGGACACCAGGATTTGTGGAGGCTTGTGCAAGAGGAAGAAACCTCCGGTGTAGAACCCACTGGGGAGGCAGCAAGGAATCTCAGCCACAGTCCTGTATGGATGCAGTATAGGTGAGTCTCTTGAAAGCTGCTGCCTTCTTGAAGGTCAGGCTTTGTTTTTGTGACCTTGTTTCAGCGTCTCTGCCTGGGTTACTTTTAGTCGTGTTTTGTCCGGTTACATTTTAGGTTTGTGAATTTCTGGAAGCGGTTGGGATTTTGTTGGCTCACCTATGGATTTAAATTGGCTCAGCATTCTCAGTGGCCTATTCTTTAGGATAAAGGCCACCAGAGCATAGCTAAGAAAAGCCTCACAGGAGAGCTCATTGTCCACCTGCAGGAGGGTACAGGGTGACCTCAAGTGAAGATGGTTCACATTCCTGTCTCTTGTATCTCTTTGAGAAATGTAGCCACAGGGCAATACAAGTATGGAATGGATGGGATCTGGACCCTGGATATATCGATTTGCAGGCTGTGCTTCCCATATCACTAAAAATAATCTAGTGAGTGTTTTGTAGGTAGGTGGCATTTGTGTTAAGGAATGAAGGTAAAGAAAAAAACTAAGAAAAATATCCTAACTTTTCTGCCAGTTACCTGATTGTTACAAATATAATTCTCATTTTTATTCACCTTCTCATGCAAAGACCCTTGGTAGTAATACCAAATTTCCTAAGGTAGCCTTGCTGTATTTTGTATAATTAAGATGTCATGCATATGAGAGTATCTGGAATCTTCTCCAATTCCCTTTAAATATGTGATTAATCACATACCTAAAATAACGTACCAAAACAAGAGAAATTCCTTTTTTACTTAGTTGCTTCGAATTTATTTATTTAAGCTTGTGGTTCCCTCATAAACCCAACAGTTCATTTGTGGCTGGCACTCTTCCAGGCTTACAGGTCTCATCTTCAAGAACTATTCAAGTGCTTGCGGCCTTTGATTAATTTCCCCTAAATACTGTGTTAAAAAACTACATTTAGGAACATACTGGTTATATACAGGCAGCAAGCAGTTTAGGGTGGACCTACTGAGTCTCAAAGTGATGGCACAGGACAAGTCACATACCACAAGCTTCTGGCTTTTCCGAGCCAACCAGAAAGAATGCTTTCGTGGTAACATTGCTAGTGTGAAGTATACACGCAAATTATTCAATGTTACCTTGGGAAATGTCCCGTCTTCAATTTCTTATGTATTCCTGGTATTAACACTTTCAAATCAATGTTGTTTTTAGAAACAACTGAATTCTTGTTTCTCTGGTAACATCCAGGTGTGAATAATCTGTACCATGAGTTCAAAATTAAGATATCGGGTTTTCTTTCCAAATTCCACTTGATTTATTGAGGACAGTCAAGGCAAATCTGAAATAACTAAATTTACTCATTATCAAAAATGAGTCTTGGCCAGGCGTGGTGGCTCATACCTGTTAATTCCAGCACCTTAGGAGGCTGTTGGTGATCACCTGAGGTCAGGAGTTGGTGACCAGTTTGGCCAACATTGAAAAACCCCATGTGTACTAAAAATACAAAAAATTAGCCACACATGGTACTGTGCACCTGTAATGCTAGCTACTCAGGAGGCTGAGGCATGTCAATCACTTCAATCCAGGAAGTGGAGATTACAAGATCGTGGCACTGCTCTCTAGCGTGGGCAACAAAGCAAAAATGGAAAAAAATTAACAAACAAGCCTCTTGAGTAGCCTGGCAACTGTTGGTGTTTTCTAAATGTTACTTGCTTTCACTTAAGTCAGGGGCATCGCAGTCACCATTCTTGGGCATTAGAACACTTCCTCTTAAGTCTGCGTACCATATCAATTAGTATTTCCCACATATCACTGACTTACCATCAAATCCCTTATTAATATCCTTCAAAACCCAGCTTACTCCGTCTACCCTCCTCAGCCTGACACTCAGGATTGTCTGATCTGCCCCCGCCCAGAGGTGGAAAAGGCAAACCCTTCAGGGGTCAGGAAGGTAATAAAAACGAGAGGGGTGCAAAATGTTAGGTAGTCAGTGGTTTCAACCTCAGTATAAAGGACACTATAGAAGGTGCAGCAGATAGACAGATCCTATAGGTTATGTCCAAATGAGAAAGACTTTGTTTCACTCAAATTGACACTAAAAACAGTGCAGACCTAAGGCAGATTTATTTTCAGAGAAGCAGGGAATCTGAAATTTTGGGTGAAATGTCCCAACTGCCAGAAGCTGAAAATGCTCTCAAATGTAAAATTCAGGTCAGATTCTGTCCAACTCCTTGTTCTATGTGTGAATAACGTCTGTATCTTCACCTATGCATATTTAAAATTCAACCTTAATCAAATCCATGGGCCACCATAATCCTTCTACATTGTAGCAAGAGTCTGGCCTCTGAAATCATGCTTCCTTGCACCTCCCACTGCAACGTCTTCCCTCTAATCTCCAATTTACCAAACTGGTCAGGGGCAGCTGAGACAGCCCTATTTCTGGGAGTCCTTTCCAGCCACTAGTAATCAGAGGCATCTCTGCTGTCCCCGCCCTTCAGGGGGGACAGTTTAAATAACAATATTTAAACTGTTCCCTATGTGTTTACATTTAACTACTTCATGAGTGACTGCGGTATGGATGGAGCAGAGAGGAATGCTGAGGGAAGACTCCTGTTAGAACGAGCTCGTCTTCCAGGAATAGGAATGAACTTTGACCAGTACCAACGAGGCAGTCTCCACCACAAGAAAAGCTAAGGGCATCCATCTCGACGGTCAGGATGGAATTACAGGTAATTCTGACCTCTTTGTTGACTCTCAAGTGGAATCTCCCTCCCCAAGAGGTGAAGTGCAGCAGTCCACTCCAGAGCCCCACAGCTGGGGCCAGGAATGTGATAAATCGGCAGGGTAGCCAATTCCCATCCAGAGGTGCCCAGCAAGACCCACCACCCTCAAGCTCAGTTTCAGGCTTGGCCCAGGGAGTGAAGTCCTTGTCCCCAAGCAACTGAGTGAGGGTTTGCCTCTAACCCTGTGGGCTCAAATGGAAGGAAAATGGCCTGGAGGTGCCCACAAGAGAGCAGCCAAATTCTGAGAGCTCTCTGGGGCTTCCAGCTTGCAACCTCATTGAGTAACACAGGAACACATGGAGGGGCAAGCTGACTGCCTAAAGGGCACCCACGGAATGCAGGTGCACACTGTAGATCTTGAAAGTGAAGGTCAGGTAAGGGGCAGAGGTGTGGGGAAGTCCTGAAGAGGGAGGCCTCCCTGGGTGCCAACCAGACTAGGGGCTGGCCCACTGACCTGAAGTACTTCTGACGTCAATGCAATACATAGGAAGGCGTGTAGGGCGGGTAGCAGAAGTGACCACAGAGGCCACTGGGGATTGTAGTTTTGGAGCTAGATAGGCGGCAGGCAGTTGACTTTGCCCGCACAGGGTGCCTCTGACATCAGCACAGGGCACACCAAGTTTAGGAGCCCACTGTTAAGATGCCCAAATGACGTTGACGATCTCTCTTCTGTAAGCCAATGAGATGTGCTGACCGTGAGAGCACCCCAGGAGTGGCGAAGGATTCTGGAAAATGTGGTCCCAGCGCTCTGCAGTCTGCGCTGACGTTTCAGCTACAGGTAAGCTTAGCTCATCACGCACGTTTCTACACTTGGGCCCTTCTCCGAGTAGAAGCCAGGTCAGGATGGATGCCACTCAGGGGGAGGCGATGCTCTGCTGGGACTCCCGGTTTTGGGGTGACACTGGTCCTGTGTCCCCTAGAGTAGGAGGGTATGCCAAGACAGGGAATCCCAAGATTGTTCTTAGTGAAAGCAAGACTGTCTTAGGGCAAACCCCCAAAATCGAGACAGGGGAGAGTCTGGTGCCGTTTCCCCAGGATTTTAGGGGATGGAGGCTGGACTATGGTGACCAGCAATAGAGCCCCTGGTGGCCGGGCGCAGTGGCTCAAGCCTGTAATCCCAGCACTTTGGGAGGCCGAGACGGGTGGATCACGAGGTCAAGAGATTGAGACCATCCAGGCCAACATGGTGAAACCCCGTCTCTACTAAAAATATAAAAAATTAGCTGGGCGTGGTGGCATGTGCCTGTAATCCAGCTACTCAGGAGGCTGAGGCAGGAGAATTGCCTGAACCCAGGAGGCGGAGGTTGCGGTGAGCCGAGATCGCGCCATTGCACTCCAGCCTGGGTAACAAGAGCGAAACTCCGTCTCAAAAAAAAAAAAAAAAAAAGAGCCCCTGGTGATAGTGGTGATGACGATCCAAGGCTTGATCCAGAAATTCTTGAGGTTTGTTTGTTATGAGACAGACTTGCTCCGTTGCCCAGGCTGGAGGGCAATGGGAACCGTGGCTCACCACAACCTCTGCCTCCAAGTAATCCTCCTGCCTCAGCCTACCAAGTAGCTGGGATTACAGGTTCCCGCCACCATGCCCAACTAATTTTGTTTGTTTTTTAGTAGAGACCAGGTTTTTGTCATGTTGGCTATCCTGGTCTCAAACTCCTGACCTCAGGTGATCCACCCACCTTGGCCTCCCAAAGTCCTGGGATTACTGGCATGAACCACGCTGCCCAGCCTGAGGTTTTAATTTTTACGTTACAGGTGCGGCTTGCAGGAACCTTCTGGAGGGTGGGGATGGAGGTGGGGTGGCATTGAAGAGGAGGCATCATTCTTCTTTTTTTTTTTTTTGAGACAGAGTTTCACCCTTGTTACCCAGGCTGGAGTGCAATGGCGCGATCTCGGCTCACCGCAACCTCCGCCTCCTGGGCTCAGGCAATTCTCCTGCCTCAGCCTCCTGAGTAGCTGGGATTACAGGCACGTGCCACCATGCCCAGCTAATTTTTCGCACTTTTTAGTAGAGACGGGGTTTCACCATGTTGACCAGGATGGTCTCGATCTCTCGACCTCGTGATCCACCCGCCTCGGCCTCCCAAAGTGCTGGGATTACAGGCTTGAGCCACCGCGCCCGGCGAGGAGGCATCATTCTAACCTTTTTTTTTTTTTTTTTTTTTTTGAGACGGAGTTTCGCTCTTGTTACCCAGGCTGGAGTGCAATGGCGCGATCTCGGCTCACCGCAACCTCCGCCTCCTGGGTTCAGGCAATTCTCCTGCCTCAGCCTCCTGAGTAGCTGGGATTACAGGCACGTGCCACCATGCCCAGCTAATTTTTTGTATCTTTAGTAGAGACGGGGTTTCACCATGCTGACCAGGATGGTCTCGATCTCTCGACCTTGTGATCCACCCGCCTCGGCCTCCCAAAGTGCTGGGATTACAGGCTTGAGCCACCGCACCCGGCCCTCCTGACTTTTTTTTTTTTTTTTGAGACGGAGTTTCGCTCTTGTTACCTAGGCTGGAGTGCAATGGCGCGATCTCGGCTCACCGCAACCTCCGCCTCCTGGGTTCAGGCAATTCTCCTGCCTCAGCCTCCCGAGTAGCTGGGATTACAGGCACGCACCACCATGCCCAGCTAGCTTTATATATTTTTAGTAGAGACGGGGTTTCACCATGTTGACCAGGATGGTCTCGATCTCTCAACCTCGTGATCCACCCGCCTCGGCCTCCCAAAGTGCTGGGATTACAGGCTTGAGCCACCGCGCCCGGCCGACTTTCTTAATATCCACAATTTCCTCGTAACCATCCCTCCTCCAAAGCCACACCCACAAGGCATCTCCAAGACCTGTCATGAAGCACATATTGAAAGATTATTTTAAAACCTTCATATTCCACCTCCTCCAGAATGTCTTTCCTATTGGGTGTTTAGGAAGGAGGATTAGCTGAGAGCCGCCCAGGTAAATGATCTTGCCAAGGCCGGGCGCGGTGGCTCAAGCCTGTAATCCCAGCACTTTGGGAGGCCGAGGCGGGTGGATCACGAGGTTGAGAGATCGAGACCATCCCGGTCAACATAGTGAAACCCCGTCTCTACTAAAAATACAAAAAATTAGCTGGGCGTGGTGGCACGTGCCTGTAATCCCAGCTACTCGGGAGGTTGAGGCAGGAGAATTGCCTGAACCCAGGAGGCGGAGGTTGTGGTGAGCCGAGATCAGCGCCATTGCACTCCAGCCTGGGTAACAAGAGCGAAACTCTGTCTCAAAAAAAAAAAAAAAATGATCTTGCCAAAGATTTAATATCCACATGTAGAATTCTTATAAGAGAACTCAGTGGAAACCAAAGTCAGGCATGGGGCTGGGCTTTAAGGATAACAAATGAAAAGGAGGGACTAGAAAACTTCAGAAAGGCATGGAGGGTGGGGTGGACAGTGAGGATGTGGGATCTTGATATAATCCAGATCCCTAGGTACAGAGGTATGTATACGAAGTCTGTAAAGAGAGACCCAGGCTGATGCGGCATACGTAATAAATCAAACATAATGTAACAGCAGGTCAAGTGATAAGGGACTGAAAAAAACAGCAAGCAGAGAAACGAGTAGTATCAAACTCCACAGAAATGAACAAACATCAAGACACTCAAGAATGCCACTCAAAAGTGACAGGCCAGGTGCGGTGGCTCATGCCTATAATTCTAACACTCTGGGAGACCAAGGTGGGCGGATTATTTCAGGTTTGAAACCAGACTGGTCAATATGGTGAAAACCCTGTCTCTACTAAAAATACAAAAATTAGTCAGGTGTGGTTGGCACCTGTAATCCCATCTACTCTGGAGGCTCAGGCAGAAGAATCAATTCAACTTGGGACATGGAGGTTGCAGTGAGCCAAGATCAGGCCATTGCACTCCAGCCTGGGCAACACAGCAAAACTCCGATTCATATAAACAAAGATGACACTTACCGAGAGCTGCTTGCCAGATTCAATGATACATCCTCACCTGAGTTAGCCTCGGGAATCTGAACCACTTGTCCTATCTGTTGAGTCCTATTTCCCACACTCTTTCTTAACTGAGTTGAGATGTGAAAATCGATCTAAATTATAAACATAGTAAAAAAACAAATATGTAACAATGCCCATCTAGTTAAAATTAACATAAATAAAAATCAGTAAAAAGAAACTGAAAAAATTTTTGAAACTAAAACCATATAAACCACTGTCACTGATGAGTTAGAGAGACACGGGTCCCACAGGGAAGTCCGCTGAGGAGGAGGGCCCGATAGGGTGAAAAAAACCATACAGTTGTATTTTATGTGATAGTCATTAAATTGTCATTGTACCTCAGGTAGAAGTAGGTAAAATGGCAGAAAATAAGGTAGAGGAGACACCACAGATATGTAATGATGGACAACAAATGACACGATGTGCAGAGTCCACCCACTCATGCAGACTTTGTATGTTCACAGAAACATGTATATGCACGCATGACCCAGTAGAGATGTTTACACAAACTGCATTTACACAGTAAAGTCAATGAGGAGATAAACACCAAATAGGGATATGCTGAGCAGGAAACCCTTCAAAAGAGGCACACAGCATCTCCCCCTCCCTTCTGAATACCATATAGAGCCTGCAGCAGCAGATGGTAAATCACAGCCTGGGCCACCCTTCCCAGAATGTCACAAACATGGATATGTAGACCACAGAACTCACCAGATGTCCAACCTGGGTGGTGCGGGGCTCTGAAAGACATGCTTCAAGTTAGAGGGACTAGAAAACTCCCAGAGGGAGCAACAGGGACTGTAGATTCCAGAAGGCTCCAGAGGCCTGTGTAAACATCAAGCAGACATGCGTGTCAGTCATTTGGATAGCACGAACTCAAACATCATCTAACAGCATCTCAAATTTCTATGTGCATCAGACTCACCTGAGGGGCTTGTTAAATACAGATTGTTGGGTCTCACTCCTAGTATTATGGGCACAGCTTGTGAATCTGCATTTCCAGCATGTTTTTCAGGTGATACTGATAGTGTTGGTCCAAGGACCACATTATGATCTAATTTAACACCAGGGTAGGGGACTTACTCAAGAGCAAAGAAGCAACAGAAGGGATCTGAAGCCTATAGGGGCTTCTCTGTAAACTCCTCAAACATAAAAACCTTCAAGGCACTCGAACAGCATTTACAGCATCAGGTCTAAGAATACAAGGTACCACGCAGGGAGTGCTCCATCAAGTAGAGAGATGAGCCCTCTGAGTGTCCCTGTCTCAGCCTGCTTGTGTTGCTACAACAGAATACCACAGACTGGGTGATTTATAAGCAAGAGGTTATTTGGCTTACAGTTCTGAACCCTGGGAAGGGGAGGGGCCTGCACCTGGTGAAGGTCTTGCTGTGTCATCCTACGGTGGAAGGCGGAAGAACAAGAGAGTGACCACATGTGAGAAAGAGAGAAAGGGAAGGAAGCCAACCTCATGCTTTTATCAGGAACCCACTTCCCGAGACAACTAACCCACTCTGCCTTCATCCATTCATGAGGGCAGAGCCTTCATGACCTCATCACCTCTTAAAGGTTCCGCTGGTCCACATGGTTGCATTAGGGGTTGAGTTTCCAACACACGAACTTGAGGGAACACATTCAAACCACAGCAGTCCCATGTAAGCCTTCCAGAAAACCTGTCTGCCTGACTCTGGACTCCCTCCTTTCCACCCTCTCTCACTGCAACTCTTAACATCCTGTTCCCTCATCATTTTTCATTTGAGCACAGCAAAGAACACAATCACTATACCTATTTTTAATGAACCTTTCTTGGAGTAAAATAATTCTATCACTCAAGTAGTAATTTTTTTTATTTTTGAAACAAAGTCTCGCTCTTGTTACCCAGGCTGGAGTGCAGTGAGGCGATCTTGGCTCACTGCAGCCTCCGCCTCCCGGGTTCAGGTAATTCTCCTGCCTCAGCCTCCTGAGTAGCTGGGACTACAGGCACGGGCCACCACGCCTGGCTAAGTTTTTGTATTTTTAATAGAGACGGGTTTCACCATGTCAGCCAGGATGATCTCTTTATCTGCTGACCTCGTAATCCGCCCGCCTTGGCCTCCCAAAGCACTGGGATTACAGGAATCAGCCACCGCACCCGGTCTCAAATAGAAATTTGTAAAAATAAATTTTCATTTTTGATATGAGAGATAATATAAAATTCTTTTTTTTTTTAAAGACAGAGTTTTGTTCTTTCTCCTAGGCTGGAGTGAAGTGGCGTTATCTTGGCTCACTGCAACCTCTGCCTCCTGGGTTCAAGTGATTCTCCTGACTCAGTCTCCAAAGTAGCTGGGATTATAGGAACCTACCACCATACACAGCTGATTTTTTTTTCTGAGACAGAGTTTTGCTCTTGATGCCCAGGCTGGAGTGCAGTCTCCCAAGTAGCTGGGATTACAGGCATGCACCACAACATCCAGCTAATTTTGTATTTTTAGTAGAGACAGGTTTTTCCATGTTGGCCAGGCTGGTTTCGAACCCCTGACCTCAGGTGATCCACCTGCCTCAGCCTCCCAAAGTGTTGGGATTACAGGTGTGAGACATGACACCTGGCCAATTTTGTATTTTTAGTAGAGACAAGGTTTCACCATATTGGCCAGGCTGGTCTCAAACTCCTGACCTCAGGCAATCCGCCTGCCTTGGCCTCCCAAATTGCAAGGATTACAGACATTTACCGGGCGAAGCTATGAACATGAAATTCTGTATTAATGAAAACTCTAAAATACATACATTTTATTTATTTCATAAATAAAAATAATTACCAAAAATATTCCATGATGCTAAGCAACACACAGAGATCTTACATCCTAAAATATACAGAAGACCTAAATATGTTATTTCAAAAATCAAGCAGAAACATAAGGGGCTCTATACACACTTTTTAAGTTTTCTGGCTGGGCACGGTGGCTCACAAGTAATCCCAGCATTTTGGAAGGCCAAGGCGGGCAGATCACCTGAGATCAGGAGTTCAAGACCAGACTGACCACCATGGCGAAACCCATCTCTACTGAAAATACAAAATTCAGCCGACCCTGGTGGCAGGCACCTTCTCGGGAGGCTGAGGCAGGGAGAACTGCTTCAAACTGGGAGGCAAGGCTGCAGTAAGCCGAGACGTGCCATTGCATTCTAGCCTGGGGGACAAAGCAAGACTCAGTCTCAAAAAATAAAAGCTAGGCCAGAGGCTGGGCGCGGTGGCTCAAGCCTGTAATCCCAGCACTTTGGGAGGCCGAGGCGGGTGGATCATGAGGTCAAGAGATCGAGACCATCCTGGTCAACATGGTGAAACCCCGTCTCTACTAAAAATACAAAAAATTAGCTAGGCATGGTGGTGCGTGCCTATAATCCCAGCTACTCAGGAGGCTGAGGCAGGAGAATTGCCTGAACCCAGGAGGCGGAGGTTGCGGTGAGCCGAGATCGTGCCATTGTACTCCAGCCTGGGTAACAAGAGTGAAACTCCGTCTCAAAAAAAAAAAAAAAAAAAAAAAAAAAAAAAAAAAATAGGCCAGGTGCGGTGGCTCACGCCTGTAATCCCAGCACTTTGGGAGGCCGAGGCGGGTGGATCACCAGGTCAAGAGGTCAAGACCATTCTGGTCAACATGGTGAAACCCCGTCTCTACTAAAAATACAAAAATTAGCTGGGCATGGTGGTGCATGCCTGTAGTCCCAGCTACTTGGGAGGCTGAGGCAGGAGAATTGCTTGAACCCAGGAAGCGGAGGTTGCGGTGAGCCGAGATCGCGCCACTGCACTCCAGCCTGGGTAACAAAAGTGAAACTCCGTCTTGAAAAAAAATAAAAAATAAAAGCTTTCTAGACCAGGTACAGTGGCTCATGCCTGTAATCCCAGCACTTTGGGAGGCCGAGGTGGGTAGACTGCTTGAGGTCAGGAGTTCCAGACCAGCCTGGCCAAAATGGCAAAACCCTATCTCTACTAAAAACACAAAAATTAGCCAAATGTGGTCGCTCACATATATAATCCCAGCTACTGCTTGGGAGGCTGAGGCAGGAGAATCACTTGAACCTGGAAGGCAGATGTTGCAGTAAGCCAAGGTCACGTCACTGTGCTCCAGCCTGGGTGACAAGAGTGAAACTCTGTCTCAAAAAAAACAAACAAACAAAAAACCTTTTCTAGTTAAACGCTAGAAATAATTTGAAATTCTGTCAGGAAAGATGTACTCAAAAAAACAAGGAAAGTATGTAAGTCACTAATGTATCAAAGAATCGTTCTTGTATTGCAAATAAATACCCAACCAAGACAAAATGGTACGTCACATCTTCTGGGAAAACACTAAAATGAGGATGAGAGGAAAACTGAGCCTTGAACATGAGACAGAAAAAATCAGGGCAGGGTGTTAAGGAATTGGAATTGATTCTCCATATTAAAGAAATCCAAGAGACAGAGAGGAGACAGGAACACGATGACTCCAGGGGTATGGGCGTAGAAGGTAATAAAGAAGGCAGAGAGAGCAGTGGGGATGTACATAAAATCACTCTCCAGAGCTGTGCTGTCCAATAAGGCAGCCACTTGTCACATGCAGCTACTGAGCATGTGAAAGATGGCTAGTCCAACCTGAGAAACGCTGTAAGTGTAAAACACATTTTTAAAACATTTTGAATACTCAGTATAAAAGAAAGAATGGGCCAGTGTGGTGGCTCACATCTGTAATCCCAGCATTTTGGAAGGCCAAGGCAGGAGGACTGCTTGAGCAAGGAGTTTAAGACCAGTCTGGGCAACATAGCAAGATCCCATCTCTTCAGGAAAAAAAAAAAAATTAGGCCAAGGACAGTGGTTCACACCTATAATCCCAGCACGCTGGGAGGCCAAGGTGGGTGGATCGCTTGAGCTCTGGAGTTCAAGACCAGCTTGGACAACACGGCAAAACCCTGTCTCAACAAAAAATACAAAAAATATTCAGGCATGGCGGCACATGTTTTTGGTCTCAGTTACTTGGGAGACTGAGGTGGGAGGATCATTTGAGCCCCAGAGGTCAAGGCTGCAATGAGCCAAGATTGTGCCACTGCACTCCAGCCTGGGTGACAGAGTAAGACTATGTCTTTAAAAAAAAAAAAAAAAAAGGCCGGGCGCGGTGGCTCAAGCCTGTAATCCCAGCACTTTGGGAGGCAGAGGCGGGTGGATCATGAGGTCGAGAGATCGAGACCATCCTGGTCAACATGGTGAAACCCCCCCTCTACTAAAAATACAAAAAAATTAGCTGGGCATGGTGGCGCATGCCTGTGATCCCAGCTACTCAGGAAGCTGAGGCAGGAGAATTGCCTGAACCCAGGAGGCGGAGGTTGCGGTGAGCCGAGATCGTGCCATTGCACTCCAGCCTGGGTAACAAGAGCGCAACTCTGTCTCAAAAAAAAAAAAAAAAAAAAAAAAAAAAAAAAAAAATTTGCTGGACATGGTGGTGTACGCTTGTAGTCCGAACTACTAGGAAGGCTGAGGAAGGAGGATCTCTTGAGCCCCGGAGTTTGAGGCTGCAGTGAGCTATGCTGGTGCCACTCATTGAATTCTAGTCTGGGCGACAAGGCAAGACCTTGTCTCAAAAGAAAAAAAAAAAAAAAAGACTGTAAACTCATTAATAACTTTTATTTTGATAAGACGTTGGATAATGCTAACATTTGAGGTGAAATAAAATACTGATTTCACCTGTTTCTAACTTTTCTAAAGTGACTACTAGAAAATATAAAATGACTTGTATGTCTGGCATTGTATTTCTATTGGAAACCACTGCTCTAGAGAGAAATGGTCTCTAGGGAGGCAGAAACATGAGAACCACAATAAAGGTGGATGGAAGGAAGTGACAGACACATCGGGTGGGTACCTTCAGTGCTAACAGTGGGGACCCAGGAGATGGACAGGCCCCCACCTACACACAGCAGGAGAGTAGCGAGGGTGATACTAGGAGTGCTGAGCTGACACACACAACTACTCAGCTTTGGCCAGGTGCAGTGGCTCATGCCTGTAATACCAGCACTTTGGGAGGCCAAGGTGGGCAGATCACCTGAGGTCGGGAGTTCCAGACCAGCTTGACCAACATGGAGAAACCTTGTCTCTACTAAAAATACAAAATTAGATGGGCATGGTGGGACATGCCCGTAATCCCAGCTACTCGGGAGGCTGAGGCAGGAGAATTACTGGAACCCAGGAGGCAGAGAGGCTGCACTGCAGTGAGCCGATATCGTGCCACTGCATTCCAGCCTGACCAACAAGATCCAAATTCCATCTCGGAAAAAAAAAAAAAAAAAGAACTACTCAGCTTTATAAACATGTGGAGAAGATACTGCGAAGGACAGCCCACAGAACGCACTGTAATAGAAATGAGAAAACACTTAGCAACAAACGATACATAAATACTGAATACGAAAAACTGGTTGGCTTAAGAGACAGGCCCCCTTTTCCCTAATACAGGTTAAAATTATAAGAGAATTTAGGGTCCAAATCAACAAGCCGACACTGCTGTGATGGTTCATTTTGAAGCAGGAACTTCATTTCCATGCTGGGGCTGACGGTGCCCTCTACTGTCCCCTCTGTGCTTTGCCCTTTTTCATTAAAAAAGGCCTTTGGTGTTAAGTTGAAATCTGTAGCAGAGGCTCAGTGCAGTGGCTTCTGCCTGTAATCTCAGCACTTTGCAGACGGAGGTGGGCAAATCACTCGGCCAGCATGGTGAAACCCCATCTCTACTACAAATACAAAAACAAGCCGGGTGTGGTGGCTCATGCCTGTAAGCCTAGCTACTAGGGAGGCTGAGGCAGGAGAAGTGCTTGAATCCAGGAGGCAGAGGCTGCAATGAGCTGAGATCATACCACTGCATTCCAGCCTAGGCAACATAGCGAGACTCTGTCCCAAGAAAAAATCAAATTGTAGCAGAAAGAAAACTAAGAGAACTGAATTTGGATGTTTAAGAAAGCAACTTTCAAAATTAACTGCTAAAGAGAATCAATCTTAATGGAAAATATAAAAGACTTCTTCATGAACATTAAAGAAAATTCTAACGACCAAAAGTTTTGGAATTAGGGTAACTGAAATGGCAGTTTAATCCTCCTGAAGGAATTTTAATTTCTAATCAACAGTACTGTAAAGCTAGGGGTAGAAAATTATTTTTTATAGCTTTTCACAAGCATTAAAGCTAAAAATCCAAAATCAGGTCTTTCTCTGACAGGAACTCCTCAAAACAGAGGAAGCCTACAGGACTTCAACCTGGAAACGACTCAGGGAATCTGGAATGTTCCCTCCAGGGATATCTGGAATTGAAAGAAAACCAGGCAACTCTTGGGGTATGGTTGGAGCCTGACATCTACAGATGGGTCATTTTATATGCTGAGATCTGAACAAGATGATTATAACCCTTAAAAGATGTAAACAACATACAAACAGAATAAACTGAAAGAGAATACAGATGACTGGTTTAAAGGGCCTACTTGCTTCGCTTTTTCTGGTTTTCGGGTCTCCTCACTACTGGGGGGTCCAGGTGCAGCTCTAGACCAAGAAATGGGAGGATTTTAGAGTGACTGGTGATTTCTGTATCATCTACAGTTACTAAACATTCTCAGCATTCATGCGAAAAGTAACAAAACCACTGCAGATGACAAAGACTAGGTAACACATATACTATCTCCCAAATACCTACCCACAAGCTCAACCATTTTAAACTGTTAGGGTCATTGGCACTAATCGCTATGACATGAGGTCACAACAAACCGTCAAGCACTAAACAGAATGTTTCCTTCCACTCCTAAGCCACTGTGTGGAGAAGCAGAGCTCACCCATCAGGCGCTGCATCAGAAGAGACGCACATGCACCGGGATGTGTGTTTGAATGCAGCGATCAAACTTCATCCCCACAGCTCCTCTGCTCACTGGCACTGCAGTCTGCAGCCTCATGTCCTTGGGGGACACAGTGGGGAGGTAACCCACATGCCAGTGACACCATGGGGAAAGAGACTGTGAGACTTTGCCCTAATTTCTGAGGGGCTTCTCTCTTCTCCCTTTGGGTTATGTGTACACTTCCCTACTGTCCCCCTGACCACTCTCGTGCCACCCAAAACCACAGCTTAAGTCACCAGCTAGGCCTTCCTTGGTGTAACTACGGTAAGCTGAGTCTCACCTGTTCAATCTCTACAGTGGTTCATTCAAAATCTGGACCTAGAAGAGTAAACAAACAAGATTTGCCTGTGTAGGTTTGGCCTCTTCCTTCTCGGAGGAAGACCTTAAGAAACATCAGGCTCTCTATGCTCAACAACTCCCTGTGACCCTCCTTCAGGAACACGCTGCACACACTAGAGCGCAGTACAGACCCACAGAGAATAAGACCCAAGAGAACCCTCTACAATACAAAGTCAGGGAGGGGTGCCCACCATCAAATGTTCAAGCTTGCAGTGGGTGGGGGAGGGTAGTGGGTTCGAGCTTGATTCTGGTGGAGGTGGGAGGAGGGCATTAGGTTTTGAGGAGAAGTGAAGGCCCAAATTACATCTGCGCAAACTCACACACAATGAAGATTACACCAGGTCAGGTGCGGTGGTTTAGAAATGACAGAAAGCAGAGGAAGATGCTGAAAATGTGACAGGGCTTCTCTCTAAACTGTGAGGACAGTAAATGCCAGTAACACCCAAAAGTGTTTATAGCCGCATTTTCAATTAACAGGGCAAAGTTACAGCAGCAAAGACCAGAGGAGGGCCAGGCACTAACCCTGGGGCAACGGATGTAAACCTGGAAATCAGGCACCCTCCGTGTCGCCATCTTCCTCATGATGAATCAAATACACAGAAGTTCACTGAAAGGTTCAGAATGAGAAAGCTGATAAATAAAGCCAGAGTCCCAGGCATATGCTGAATGCGCACTGATTAAAAATCAACCACACTTGATAAGCACAAAGAAACTCACTTTCCACATCCCTTAAGTTATCCTCTCTGGCAAGTATTTGTCTTGTAAATTACGTATGACAGAAGAGAAAGAAGTAATTGAAAACTCAGCAAAGTAAATGTACTTCTAAACTCATGAATAGTAAAATAAGGAAATATCTTTGAGAATCTATGAGACTATCCAAAGAAAATGCAATATACATGAGAGTAAAAAGGTCATTTGGCAAAGCCTACAAAATGAGTCCAAAATACGGTTCCGAGGAGACTTACCTTCAAATGCATCCAAAACAGAGAACAGGAAAAGCTCCCTCCCGATTCCTATTGAGATGAGAAAAGTATCAGCATAAACAGAAGGAAATCAAGCCAAAAACAAAACAAAACAAACAAACAAAAAACCAAAGTTAGCCAATTTTTAAAGTGCTGTTAGGTCTAAAACAAGTGAGAAGTCTTGCCCTAACCATTAAACCAGAGCAAAAACTGTGCATTTCAAATATTGGGGGAACAGCGAGGTGGTGAGCCTGTTTAGCGCAGGACGCTTCTAACATATGAAGAGTCTTTGACCCTCCTCAGAATAATGCCATAAACGACAAAGAATACAACGCATAGGGGCCGGGTGCGGTGGCTCAAGCCTGTAATCCCAGCACTTTGGGAGGCCGAGGCGGGTGGATCACGAGGTCAAGAGATCGAGACCATCCTGGTCAACATGGTGAAACCCCGTCTCTACTAAAAGTACAAAAAAATTAGCTGGGCATGGTGGCGCGTGCCTGTAATCCCAGCTACTCAGGAGGCTGAGGCAGGAGAATTGCCTGAACCCAGGAGGCAGAGGTTGCGGTGGGCCGAGATCGTGCCATTGCACTCCAGCATGGGTAACAAGAGCGAAATGCCGTCTCAAAAAAAAAAAAAAAAAAAAAAAAAAAAAAATCAAAACCAGGATTATAGTTCATAAAGGCAATCCCAAAATCTCCTTAACTGGCTGTTTCTTTCACAAAAGTTACTCTATATACGTGCCGAAAAATAAGATTTTAAAGACATTGGGGAAAATGCTACTAACATATCAAAACCAGGAACTTGCCGGGCGCGGTGGCTCAAGCCTGTAATCCCAGCACTTTGGGAGGCCGAGGCGGATGGATCACGAGGTGGAGAGTTCGAGACCATCCTGGTCGACATGGTGAAACCCCGTCTCTACTAAAAATACAAAAATATCAGCTGGGCATGGTGGCATGTGCCTATAATCCCAGCTACTCAGGAGGCTGAGGCAGGAGAATTGCCTGAACCCGGGAGGCGGAGGTTGCGGTGAGCCGAGATCGCGCCATTGCACTCCAGCCTGGGTAACAAGAGCGAAACTCCGTCTCAAAAAAAAAAAACACAAAAACAAAAAACAAAACCAAAAAAACAAAACAAAACCAGGAACTTATTTCCTTTAAAACAATTCCAAACTAACTCGCTGTGCCTTTTACAGAAATTTCCCACAAGAAATTTCATTTTTTCCAAGCCTGAGAAGTTGCTGTTGTTAGGACAACCATCAAAACTAAAAATTGGTGTAATTAGCAACAACAACAAAAAGCCGTGTTAACTGGCTGTCCTTATCAGAGATATTCCACTAAAAAGCGAAATATTTTAAAAAAGGTTGTGATACTTTACTATAAACATAGTATAAGCCAGGAACGTATTTTACTTAATAAACCTCAACCCGCCGGCCACTCCCTCCCACCCCGAGGCGTTCTGCAACAAAACACCTGCCTAAAATTAAAAGGTCGTTTTACCTAGGGGGGCTGAAAAGCCCCGTTTTTGTTTTTGTTTTTTTCTTTCTTTTTTTTCTTTCATGCTTGCTTACATGCAGACCTTTAATCTCGAGACACTACGGGTCAGAGGTCGGGAAACTACCTCGGCTCCAGTGCAGTCAGGCGCCCAAGAGTCTGGTGGGCTGACGGGAAAGGGCCCAGACCGAGCCCGAGTCCCAGTTCCCGACGTGGGGATGGCCTATTTCCCAGCCGCGGACGCCGAAGGCGAGGACTCCACATTGCTGACTCTCCAGCGTCCCATATTCGGCGGGTGCTTGGCCGAACAGCCCAAGCCCGCGGAATCAACTTCCCACCGTGAGCCTGGACGCCATCTGCAAACAGCATGCTTCGGGCTTCCGGAAACGAGAGGGCGGGCTTCCGGAAATGAGAGGGCGGGCTTCCGGAAACGAGAGGGCGGGCTTCCGGAAACCGGTGACCAATGGGAAAAGCTATGAGGTGTTACTAGGCGGACACTCCGTTTTCTGGCAACACAGAACGCAGTGACGCTCGCAGTCAGCCTCAAATAGACGGATCTAGTAGCCAATGGATATGTAGTTTCTCTCCACATTAGCCAATAGGAAGCGCTTACGGCCGATCCGCCTGCGAGCACAGCAAAAGTTTTTAGTTCAGGTGGCTCACATCTGCAATTCCAACACTTTGGGAGACCCAGTCGGGTGGATCACGAGGTCAGAAGATCGAGACCATCCTGGCTAACACGGTGAAACCCCGTCTCTACTAAAAATACAAAAAATTAGCTGGGGCTATTCCGGAGGCTGAGGCAGGAGAATCACTTGAACCCCGGAGGCGGAGGTTGCAGTGAATCGAGATCGCGCCACTGCACTCCAGCCTGGGTGACAACAGCGAGACTCCGCCTCAAAAAAAACAAAAAAACAAGTTTCTTCAGCTTTCTGCGCTGGATCGCCTATCCGCCGCGCCAAACCAAAGTTTTACAACCACCCTTGGTGCCGTTTCCCAACTTACTTGGAGATTTGCACCAGGCGCTGGAGACCCTCCCACCTGGTCCTTGACCGCCGCCGCCCAGTGAACACCGAGACCCCACCTTGTGAACCGCCAGTCCTTTTTTTTTTTTTTTGAGACGGAGTTTTGCTCTTGTTACCCAGGCTGGAGTGCAATGGCCGGATCTCGGCTCACCGCAACCTCCGCCTCCTGGGTTCAGGCAATTCTCCTGCCTCAACCTCCTGAGTAGCTGGGATTACAGGCACGCGCCACCATGCCCTGCTCATTTTTTGTATTTTTAGTAGAGACGGGGTTTCACCATGTTGACCAGGTTGGTCTCGATCTCTCGACCTTGTGATCCACCCGCCTCGGCCTCCCAAAGTGCTGGGATTACAGGCTTGAGCCACCGCGCTCAGCCTTCAGTGTTCTTTAGTGGGCTTCAGCTCTGATTTCAGTGTGGCAGGCCATCACAGGTTACCATTAGCAACCAGAACAGTTTCCACTAACCCTTTATTATAATTTTGATGAATGCATAAGTTAAACGTTAAAGAAATGGAGAAACTGGGGCCGGGCGCGGTGGCTCAAGCCTGTAATCCCAGCACTTTGGGAGGCTGAGGCGGGTGGATCACAAGGTCAAGAGATCGAGACCATCTTGGTCAACAAGGTGAAACCCCGTCTCTACTAAAAATACAAAAAATTAGCTGGGCATGGTGGCTCATGCCTGTAATCCCAGCTACTCAGGAGGCTGAGACAGGAGAATTGCCTGAACCCAGGAGGCGGAGGTTGCGGTGAGCCGAGATCGTGCCATTGCACTCCAGCCTGGGTAACAAGAGCGAAACTCCATCTCAAAAAAAAAAAAAAAAAAAAAAAAAAAAAAAAAAAAAAAAAAAGAAATGGAGAAACTGGTGCCTGAGTATGAGGGATGGAATGCAAAATTAAACCCATGAAGACCCCGCCTGGGTTTTCTCAGACCCGGCCTAAGGTATGATCGAATAATAATAGCATTCTTACACATTCACCTCGACCTGCCTTAAGGTAACAGAAATTTTCCAAGACTCTGGAGAAATCTTTCCAGACCCTGGACGCTTGTTAAAGATTAGATGTTGATTGAATGAAACACTCCTGCTTGTAGGTGCAATCCCACACGTAGCATGGAGCTTGCGATATATATAAGCACTAGGGAAAAAAACTTGCTATTTTGAGTTGGTCTGGCGAGTTACTTGGCATTTCTCCATGTAAGCGGTTGCAGAAATACACTTCCTTCTTTCCCAGTCTGTCTGCATCTTGTTATTGGACAATCGCGACTGACCGGCTCAGCAAACTCCTCTTTTGTGTGGTTATCTGAGACTCCTTTTGGAGGGAACATTTTAAATTTTCGATTTCAAAGAGTTCTACTGGCACTCTTTCAGTTTTTTTCTCTGCCTACCCTGGAACCTGAGTTCTCCTGGACTCAAATCTCCAGCCAGAGTCCAGAAGCCCATACCTCCACATTTTGTGACTGTTCTGAAATCACAGGGAGAATTTGCAGAAAATATGCACAAAAACCTTGCCGTTCTTTTCTATAAAACGGCACATTACAAACTGGTGAAAACGGAGGATTTTAGCCTGAATAGGTTTTTCCTCTATTTGAAACCAATCATGTCCCCTTTACAATTTTGGAGCGAAGTTTCAAAATCAATCAATAAACACCCCCCAGGTTTATCCTCAAGTCCAGTGCCCCCTCTGCACATGCAAGATAAAATAAATCCTGAAACTATTATGCTAAGTGAAAGAAGCCAGTCACAAAAGACCATGTTATGTAATTCTATTTAAATAAAATGTCCAGAATAGACCAATACACAGAGACAGAAAGTAGATTAGTGGTGGCCCAAAGTTAGGGGAGTTGGGGGGAAATGGAGGTATATGGGGTTTACTTTGGGGTAATGAAAATGATGTAAAATTTATTGTCATGGCCGGGGGCGGTGGCGCAAGCCTGTAATCCCAGCACTTTCGGAGGCTGAGGCAGGTGGATCACGAGGTCAAGCGATCGAGACCATCCTGGTCAACATGGTGAAACCCCGTCTCTACTAAAAATACAGAAAAATTAGCTGGGCATGTTGGTACGTGCCTGTAATCCCAGCTACTCAGGAGGCTGAGGCAGGAGAATTGCCTGAACCCAGGAGGCGGAGGTTGCAGTGAGCCGAGATCTCGCCATTGCACTCCAGCCCGGGTAACAAGAGCAAAACTCTGTCTCAAAAAAAAGAAAAAAAAAAAATTTATTGTCATGATGTTTGCACAACTGTGCAAATATACTGAAAACCATTGAATTTTACACTTTAAATGGGTGGCTTCTGTGGCATGTTAATATTTCTTAATAAAACTTAAAAAAATAGTACCTGGGTGTCTTTTTATGTATTATTACTCCAGAGCCCATATTTTTACACTTGATGAAGAAATCAATATTTTAATTCTTTTTTTTTTTTTTTTGAGACAGAGTCTTCCTCTGTTGCCCAGGCTGGAGTGCAGTGGCATGATCTTGGCTCACTGCAACCTCCGCCTCCCATGCTCAAGTGATTCTTGTGCCTCAGCAACCTTAGTGGCTGAGATTACAGGTATGTGCCACCACACGTGGCTAATTTTTGTATTTTTAGTAGAGATGGCATTTCACGGTGTTGGCCAGGCTGGTCTCAAACATCTAACCTCAAGTGAGTCCCCCAACTTGGCCTCCCAAAATGCTGGGATTACAGGTGTGAGCCACCACGCCCAGCCCAAGATTTACTTTCCATTGTTTCAGATGCCCTAGGACCATTTTACTCTACCTTAATTTCTGATGCATCATCTCAGTAGAAATTTTACATTACTTTATAAAGCATTTTACTCTTTTTAAGATTTTATCAGCTGGGTGCAGTGGCCGACTCCTGTAATCTCAACACTGTGGGAGGCCAAGGTGGGAGGATCAGTTGAGTCCAGGAATTCAAGACCGATCTCTTCAACATAGTGAAACCCCAGCTCTACAATTTTTTAGTTTAATTAGGTGGGCATATTGGGGCATGCCCGTGGTCTTAGCTACTAGGCAGGCTGAGTTGGAAGGATCATGAGCCCAGGAGGTCGAGGCTGCAGTGGCCATGATTATACCACTGCACTCCAGCCTGGGTGACAGAGTGAGACCCTGTCTGAAAAAAGGTTTTTTAATTACAATTTTTTTTTTTTTTTGAGACAGAGTTTCTCTCTTGTTACCCAGGCTGGAGTGCAATGGCACGATCTCGGCTCACCGCAACCTCCGCCTCCTGGGTTCAAACAATTCTCCTGCCTCAGCCTCCCGAGTAGCTGGGATTACAGGCACGTGCCACCATGCCCAGCTAATTTTTAGTATTTTTAGTAGAGACGGGGTTTCACCATGTTGACCAGGATGGTCTCGATCTCTCGACCTCGTGATCCACCCGCCTCGGCCTCCCAAAGTGCTGGGATTACAGGCTTGAGCCACCGCGCCCAGCACTACAGTTTTTTTTTATAAAACAAAATATATGGCCAGGCGCGGTGGCTCACGCCTGTAATCCCAGCACTTTGGGAGGCTGAGGCGGGTGGATCACGAGGTCAAGAGAGCGAGACCATCCTGGTCAATATGGTGAAACCCCGTCTCTACTAAAAATACAAAAGAAGTAGCTGGGCATGGGGGCACATGCCTGTAATCCGAGCTACTCGGGAGGCTGAGGCAGGAGAATTGCCTGAACCCAGGAGGCGGAGGTTGCAGTGAGCAGAGATCGCGCCATTGCACTCCAGCCTGGGTAACAAGAGCGAAACTCCGTCTCAAAAAAAAAAAAAAAAAAAAAAAAAAAGCATATATATATATATATATATATATATATATATATACATACACACACACACTTGGTCATTTGATACAAATGAATGACTTTTATAATCTACAGAAACATCAACAGCAAATATAATAAAACCCACAGCCATTCTTCTTATGTGAGTCACTGGTGTCTCTGGGTTGTAAGCATTGTAAATTATGATTAATAACAAATACACATGACAAGGAATCAGTAAGGGATAGGGATTAATAAATTGCAATCCACACTTACTGGAGGAAGGTCTTTAAAGATGTACAAGAAAAGGAAAGAAAAAGAAAAGGCATTGAGAAACTGTGTTGGCTACCAAAATGCTAAAGTTTACCTAAGTCCATTAATCAGCATGCATACACACACAAAGGATTGTAAGATGGTCAACACACTCTCCCAGGAATGTATCCTCTTATTGATAGGTCTGTGTGAGGAATAGATGAGGTTCTACAGATCTTGGAATCAGGGATGGGGAATCTGTGAGGTCCCTAGGGTGAGAGATGAGGGTCTGTACATTAGTGATGGGTTGTCTTTGGAATAGTGATGAGGTACATGGAATCAATGATTGTGGGTATGTAGGGAATGA